TCTGTTGAATCCTCTTCCTCCAGCACCTCTGGCCTGTACCCCAGCTCTTGTATGCATAAATAAATAAATCTAAACAAAAAATAAAGTGCAAAGACATTCACAAAAATGATTAACTCAGGGGAGAAAAGGAGATGAACAAGATAGAATTAGTTTTGACAAAGCTGTTTGGTGGGTACAAAAGCTGGTGGGTGTTCTTTATATACTTGCCAACACTTATCTAATGGCTTAAATGGTTTCATAATGAAGAAACCTACATTCATTTATAAATGAAATTTAAAGGATTTCTATACCAATGTGTCTCATCTATACCAATGAGTTTCTAGCTCAACAGAAATTCTTATGTATTTATTTTTTTATCATTCTATCAAAACTCGAATTAGCCAAATATGATTCATCAGGGATTTTCCCCACACGGCTCCTTAGTGAGGTTGTACCAAGAAGCTTTCTCTTTCCTGTACCAGTTCCAGTCCTATTTATCATGGCCTTTTCAGCAGTTGCTCACGTAACTAAATTCCATGAGCGAATGTCCTCCGTACAGCGTGGGCATTATCCTGGTCCTTGAAGGAAAGGTCTTAGCAAAAATAAACAGAAAACAAGCAAACAAAATAAAGTAAAATAATGTTTTCCTATGGACCCAACATTTCTCAGAAGAAAGCCTTGAAATTTTCTAATGTCTTGGACTCTGGGCTCAGATGACTAAAAAAATCTGTTAAAAGTTCTACTCCTATGACCCACATGTGGAAAAAGCAGTTCTCATTACTTATTGTCACCCAAATATGTTCAGTTTGAACCAGGACCACCCTTTCATTAAGTTTAGTCACTAGTGTTCTGAAAATGTTGGCCTTTGAATCTTGGCTATACATGTCCTTTGTATAATCCTCGGATCTAAGTGTCCTTTGTATATATCATGTCCCCACCATTTTCTAGAGGTCCACATGTGTGTCATTGTTGCTAATTTGATTCTCTTCACCCTTTCTATATACAAAGCCAAAATTAAAGTAAATAGAAGCAAGAAAATGCTTGTCCAAGAAATCCCTAAAAGCTAATTCCCTGAACACATTTAAGTACTTGAGAGGATTTTGAGAAAAAAATCCATACCATAAAGTGATAAGCAGATGTTTCCCACATGTTTGCAGAGAAGTCCCTGTAAGCTGATGTAATATTTTTTTCTTGAGGTTTTGCCATTTTAAATCCAGTTGTCTATACATGTTTTTGAGGCAAATCATGTGTGACAAACAGGCTGAATCTAAGCTTTCCTTGAAATAGTGCAGAAATTGGGGGTTAAATTTGCATTGCTACTTTTCTAACTATTCATAAAACTTAGGCATAGTTTCCAGATGTCAGTTGTCTGCCTCACGCCTCTGGGTCTCAGGAACAGGGTACAGTCCTCTGGCCTTTTTGCTGTTGTTGTTGAGATCCATTTAGGGCCATGCTATGCCATTGCTTTGGTTTCATTTAAGCAGAATTCAGTTGTAGATTCTTGTCAGGAATTCCTTATCAGAACAATTTCCTTCTCAAGGGTGTGGTCTGATTATTGCCAAATTTTCCTCTTTCCCCATAGTGAATTACTCAGGAAAAATTTTCATTAGATAATAGAACCGATGATATCACAAAATACTCCTTTTTGTGAAATCTATTTAAATCATGCTTTAGTGATTTTTCAACGTAAGGTACTATTATTTTTAGCAGAAGATTTGATCAATCATCAGCTCATGCTATTTAATGTGTGTAAAGGTGTAAAGTTTTATTACAATAATGGTGTTTCTATTGCTCGCGGGGGGCTGAGAGTGGTCACTGATTTTGTTATTCGCTTAACAGGGAATGCCATGCTGTTGAGGGTGTTGCCTTCTGTGTATGAAAAGCAGCCTTGGCCGATTAACAGACACCTGACAGAACTCTTGGCCTTGATGTCTCAGCTGGAGCAGGCAGAGCAGTACCACCTTCTACGCCTTCTGCATATAGCAGCAAAGAGGAAACAACAGGAGGTAACAAATGCACTGCATATATCATCATCCACACACCAGCTGTGCTTTGTGAGTGTGAACAGGATGTGAGTTTAAGCATCTTCTCTGCTGACTCATCTTTAAATGAAAGCACACATCCACCTTTCCTAGTATCATAAAAATAAGGAAGGGAAAAAAAAATAAATAAGGAAGGAATACAGAAGTTGGACATTGTCTCAGAACTCTCCAGAGAAACATAACCACCAAGATTTGTGTGCTTGTATACAAAGACATATAGCTATGTGTGGAGATATGTAGATATAGATAGCAATACATAAAGGGCTTTATTATGTGACTGTGGAGACTAAAAATTTCTGTAACCAGACAGGACCAGGCTCTCCAGGCTGCAGGACCAACAATTGGTCTGGAGAACAAACGTCCTTTCTGTAAAGTTGACTAGTCTGTGTGATCTCGAAGTTGGCTTGGCCTCCACATCCACACATCTGTGAGCTTCAGGTACGGCGACTGGGCCACTTGGTCTCTCTCTACTACTGCCTTTTGGTCTCCCTCTCTTCGGAAACCATCCTTCCTGGATGGAGGCAGCAGTTTTTGGCTAGTGATTCCTGGCTGGAACCTCCAGAGAATCCTTAGAGTTCATTTATTGGCAAAGACTGGGTGGTCAACTTTCCAAATAGTCGTCAGGGGCTACGTCTTTATTCTTGGCTGCCATAAACTGGGCTGTTGCCTGCCAGCAAAAGGAACAGAATTTAGTAACAGGCACGCACACCTCTGTTATTATCCCATGGACATGAACTTCTAGCCCCGCCATACAGAGCTGTGGAAGAAAGTGGCAAGTTCACCCCTCTAGTATTATTGTCCAGACCCAGAGAAACTACGCTTGTTGCCTAGTCCCTAAGGAGAGAGTCCCATTCTAGAAAGTTCTCTGAGCAATGCAGAACATTCCTATTCACATACCTAATCCTGTAGCACCCATCATAGGCCAACAATACTCAGAGGTCACATTTGGTATTTATTTAAAACATGAAGCCTTTTGTAGAACAATAAGATGAGTGATGGGATATATAGGCTTTTCAAAAGCTCTTTGAAGCAGAACCAATGTTCAGAATCTGTATTTTTCCCAGGGTGGTGGGAATAAGTAGGAAATGAAAATATTAACAGTCATTTTATAGAGATATGGAAGTCTCTGGGGATTGTTGGTTAACCAAATTAGTTGAAAGAGAAAATGGAGCCTGAGGACTACTTTCAGAGGGAAAAGGTGCAGGCTTGCACAATACCTGTGCACTCACAGTAGCTCTACCTTTTACTTTCTATAGAAGAATTTAAATTCCCTGACAGTAATTAGGTGATGGTGCCATGGAGGGAAACAGCCCTTTCTCACCTGTGTCCTGGGAAGAGGAGCTGTGTCCATGATTCTTCAGTTCAAGGACAAGATGCTAAATCTGTCAGCAGTCTGTGGGAGCACAAAAAAGGTAGTGATGGAGCCCAGGACAAGACAGTTCGTGGGCTGTTTGCTGTGAGAAGTTCTGGTCTGATACTCCTGTGCCTGCACCCCAGTTTCTACCCATTCCCTTGCTAAACACAGACCAGATCATTGAGGTGATGGAGTCCCCTCCTGCATTGCTCCTCCCAGGACGCAAATCCATTCCAGGGCTTATGCAGCTCTGGTCCGTGGGTCTGCTCTCCCAGGAACCGGCCATGCCAACAGTGTGATCCCACACCCCCGAGGGGTGACCTGGCTGAGCTTGATGATGTGGGTTGGACATTCACATGCACGTGTACCAGAGTCCCTACAGGGCCACACCAGCTCAGGGAGAAAGGGGAAGCTAAGTAAGGGAGCAGGAGCAAGGGTTACCTCTGGGTTCCCTCTGCAGAGGCCAAAATTTCCATATGCAAATCCAGCCTCCCAGACTGTTACCAAGTGTGTGTCAAGTAGGGGGCCAGAGCATTTTTTGTAGCTGTGGAAATACTGGATTGTGTGTGACCTGGGGCCTTCTAGTCCCAGGTGAGGGGGTAGGGCAGAAGGGAAGTCTCTCAGAAATGGAGATATTTGAATCTGGCTTTGTAACCGTGAGAGTTGTCTTTCCAGGTCACGAGGTGGCTGGGGGTGGCCCTTTAGGTGTGTCCAAGGGCCATTGAGGGAGGAAGCATCAGATCTATACATTCCTGAAGAACTAGGAAGGCCCCAGCCATGGGAAATACTTGGCAGGCTCTTAGAGAGGCTTGGTATAATTTAGAAAAAGTCTGGTGGTGGTGAGGAGCCTGTTTTGTCCTGACTTCTATGATGGTCGCAAGGAAGAAAGACGGAAGGCAGAAAGGCTGAACAAGCAGAGTTTATTGCTCCCAAGCAGCAGCTGAGACAGAGCTCCCTAGGGTGGGGTCTGCAGCTATTGCCAGCCGTATAGGAGGGAAGGGTCTCTTATATAGATTCTAAGTTCAAATTCTAAAGGAATAACTCTTGATGCAAGGCCCAGTTCATTACCACCCTTAGCTAGTCCCATCCCAGATGCAAGACCCACTTAATTGTCACCCTTGGATGCAAGGCCCAGTTTATTATCGCCCTTATCTAGTCCCACCAGTAATGGTTGTGTTATTGCAGCACCTGGTCACCCCCAACACTGGTCACCCCCAACAGAGACTAAATGGAAGGGAAAGAGATATGAGTTTAGGATCCAGTTTGGAAGTTTTTGCAACAGCCCCTGGGAAGGGCTCACGGCCTGACCTGACCAAAGGCCTTGTCAGCTGCTGTCTTGGTGGCTGCTCCATTCTCAACAAAGACAAGGCCTTCCCTGAAATTTCAGATGGCACCAAAGAAATGTGCCCAAGGATGTGAACTGCTTTTTGTAAAACAAACAAACAGTTGTCCTAACCTAAGACTAATCTACCTAAAGTCCAGAGCACCATTTCCTTAGTATCTATGACAAATGTCAGGTCATATCTATCTTAATCGGCGTTTCTATCCCATCATAACAAGCTTTGGACTAAAGGAAATCACAGCAAAACAGTCAAACTTTTGTTGAATTGGTAAAATTATAATTAGTTTGTTTTCACTATTCAGAGTTTCTCTCCTCTTCACTCCTTCTGTGGATTCCACGGTGCCCAGCATTCTTCCTTTGTTTTTCCCCTCTAGTCTCTTGGATTGTTTTCCCTTAAATTCACTTTGCTTCTCGCCTCCTCTTCTTCCAAGCTCCTCTTCCCTCTTTCCCCAGCTCCTGTGTTCACTCCGCTCTCACATTTTTTCTCTGTGGGTCAATAGCTACACCCTCTTGTAGGGCTTGAATGTATCACTGGAGATTAAACAAAAAATGTTAAAAACTGGTGTGGCTAGAAAGAAGCAGAAGTCACAGAGATCCTGGTGTTCCTGGAATAGGACATGAAGAGGAAGAGCTGAGGGATGAGACTGTATAGAATGGGCAGGAAGTGTGTAAGCATTTTCCATTCCTGAAGGTCTCAGGTATAGTAGCTGCCCTGGCCCAGAGCAGCTGGCTCAGGCTTCTGTGGTTGTGCCAGGAGCAGCTCATGGCTTCCTCTGAAGGACGCACAGCTGCCCCAAATGCTTTTAGGCAACTTCTCTTCATAAGTGCCTTTACCAGAAACAAGTCCTGTCCTTTCCTCCCAAGTGCTGGATACAAGTAGCAATTTTATATTTATTGGTAGGATAGTTTTAGTTATCTCAAAATTGTCTTCTTTATTGTCCTTACTATATTATCTACAATTCGTGAGGGCATAGGCAGCTTTAGAATTTGGGCAGAGACCTAGAAGCCATTATCATGAACTTGTATTGGATTGTATGATACATTTTGAATTTCTGATCTCTCATTATGTTTTATGTCTCTGGCACCTGCCTAGCCCCTTTGTTCGGGTTGCTGCTTTAGATTTAGTTTGGTGATTTGGGGCCTCAGCCACTCTGGTTTGGTAGGAGCCTATTTAGCTTGTGTTGTCCCATGAGGGGATGGGTAATTTTTGGAATTTGACTAGGAACCTGTTATTTGTAACCCTTTTCTCTCTACCTATATCTTTTGAACTTTCATACAAGTTAAAGAGGAAGTGTGCATTTATTCCCCTAAATCATATGAAGTATAGTAAACCAATGTTATCTGTTATACACCCACCCCAAGAAGCCCCAAGGGTTAGAAACAATATTAAAAAAAAAATGTGCAGGCTGAAGTGGAGAGCACAAATATTTAATATTTATTATCTGCAACATTCAGTACTGTGGGGTGGGAGGGTAGGAGTCTGCAAATGTTACCCTACACAATCATTTAGAATTGCTTTCCTTTGATGGGTTCCCAACCTTCTGGCCAGGCTCTGTGCTGGGTTTTGGGTGCACAATGGATAAAACTGATTGATTCTTGACTTTGTAGAGTTTTCAGTCCAGAAACAGATCAGATTGTTAGTAACTATAATAACACAGCAAAAGAGCTCAACAAATATCTGCAATGAGCTCAACAAATATCTGCAATGAATGAGTAGGGAGGTGAATGAAAATGGAGGAAAGTGATAGATCTGTGGGGTACTCAGGGGTAGAATCAATAGGTCTTGAACCTGCTTAGTGATGCTACTACTAAGGAAGGACCATAGTCAAGAATGAGTCCCTTCTCTCTGCTTGAGTAGCTAGAAGATAATGGTGTCACTTGTGAAAAAAAAAAAAGGAGACATTTGGAGTCCGAGAATGTGGATAAAGGTGGGAGAAGTAGGTTTTGGCAGGGAATAGGTTATGAGTTTAGCAGTTGAGCGGTGTGTTAGATTGGGTTTTAATGTAGGGAGCTATATTTCAAGTCTACCATATCGAAAGGGTGATAAATCAAAAAGTCAAACTACCATATCAAAAAGGTGATGAATCAAAAAATCAAACTAGACAGCATCATAGACATGTGGGTGGCTGCTCTCTCTGGTTCTTTAAATAGATTTTTAAAATCATTAAATTTTCAGCACACAACATATTAACATAGTGACTTTATTACACAAAAAGGTCACATTTTCTGTTCTATGAAATACTGTGCTCTGATATTCACAAAAGCTTTACAAATCTAGAAGGAAATCAGATTGTGGGAATAATGTTACCTTAATAAATTTCATTATCTTATTATTTTTTTTGTGATGAAAATATAAAATTCAAATACTTGAAAGTTATTTTTCCTGCTTTCCTATATTTATTATTAAATATTTCCAAACCATATTTCTCCAACTTGAATGCTCTGTGTTTGTTATCAACAATAATGTCTTACACACATAAATTGTCCTTTAAGTTATAGTTCTGTGTGTACCATTCCTGGTGAGGGCATAGCACAGCAAAACTTGATTTACGAATAACAGCATTAAGCATTTTTAAAATTTCATTTCTCAATAAAAGAACACAGATTAAAAGGAAAATCAGGAGAAACTGAAACCTCTGACATTTTATTGTAAATTTTAAACTCTTAACTTGAGAGATTTGCTTGTGTTCCTTTGAGGGTATTAGCCAAGAAGAGGTTGAGTTCAGATTTAAAACAATAAATTAGATTGAAATCTGATTTAATTTTTCACCACTTCTCTTCCTTGGTCCTCATGTTCTTTTTTTTTGCAGGTGGTTCAGAAGTGCATTCCTTTTCTAGTCACTCATTTGAGGGACGCGACCCACCATGATGTCGTCCTAAATATCCTCATGGAGATTGCAGGCTATGAGCCGGCGGCTCTGAACGACTTCCTTCCGGCCCTGAAGGAGATTGGTCAGCGATCCCCCTACCTCATCGGACAAATGGCACGAATCTATGGAGCTGTTGGACGTGTAGATGAAGTAAGTTTGCTTTATTTTTTTTTTCCTCTTCATTTTCCTAAAATTCATTGGCACTTAATTCATTAGATCTCTGTGACCTACAGACTGTTCCTGGAATTCCTATTTCGGTTTCAAACTTTTTGCATGGACAGTGGATTCTAGGTCAAGGTAACAACATAGGAGGACTACATAGAAGATTCTAGAAGTGAGATTTCACTGGGAAATATTACTCTGGAGTATCATCTGAGAAAGGGAATGGGTTAAAGTGGAGACAGCACCAAGGCAAGTTCAAAATCACCTTGTAATAATTTTCATGTCATTTCTGAGTGCAGTTCTCCTTAATTCAGGAGATCATCAGTGTACAAAAAGTATGGGTAGTCTGCAAGACCACCTGTTAATAAGAACCATAGCTATCCTGTCATAAGTGCCTGGGCTTGGTGTATTTTGAGTCCCTGGGTGTTGTTATTTAGGAAAAATGAAGTAATATTTATGAAGGTTTAGAAGTCCTAGCCTAAATATTTGCAAAACGGAATCTTCTAGCACACAGTAGGAGACTATCAGCACTTGTGGGGGTGTGGGGCAGGAAAGAACCTGGAACCTGGATAAATGAAACAATTAAAAGAACTTCCAGAAATTCAAGTATGTACATGAGCACATACATATATATCTCACTGATGATTTTATATTGGAATTTAGAATTTTTGTCATAAAATAAAAGCAAACATGAGCGAAACTTTTACTTTCACCCTTTCACATATAATGTATTCACCATAAGATAAACATAAATTTGGACAACTTTTAAAAGGGATTGTCTAATCTACCTCAACCCCTTGAGTCTACACAGGAAAAAACTGAAAACTTCAAAGGCTACCTGACTTTCCCAGACTCATACTGGGATAGTTGGTCAGCCAATTAGATTAGATTTTTTCTATTACTGGCATTTATTTCCAAATTTTAGCTTGAAGTTAAAAATATATTTTATTTTATTCCACCTGAGAGTTGGTGAGAGCCCAATGGTAGAGGACCTGTCTTCCCCAGCTTCCCAGAAAAAGAGGGAATTGAGCCCCCAAACAGCACATACATCATCCTGAGAGTGGCTTTTATAAAAGGGTTGCCTGGGTCAGCACAATGCTGCCTAATTCAGTCCCTTTCTAGTCCCTGCTGTGGGGAATGTCTCATGCCTGCCACAGTCTGCCTTCTGGTACTGCTTTTTTATGCCCATCATCTTTACTGCCAAGAGCACCCACTGGTGTGCCCAAGTATTTTTAGGCCAAATGCAGCTGACAGCTGTTCAATTGAATCTGCTGACTTGGCCATTCTTTGCATGGACCAAAACATTCAGCCTCCAGAATCTTTACAAAGTATACTCTCTCCTGCACTTTAATGGAGTTCTTTTTGCAGCAAATGCACTTATGATTCACTAACATGTAGTAATGCACATTAGAAGTGACTAAACTTCTCATAGAATGTGTAATTTGTAAGAAAACAAGCATTAGTCACAAGTAGTTATATCACTGAAAGTTATTCGAACTAAGGCTAACCTGAGAGAAAATTACCTACTTTGTGACATTTTTGTGGCTTTAGGTAGGTATAAGGACCAGGAGAAGGAGATTCAAATAGCAGAGAATTATTTATTACAAATACCAGAATCACATCTCATGCTCTCTCTTTTCACCCCTTCAACCTACCTCCTGCCCCAGAGGAAGTTTCTATGTTTGAGGAAGAAAAATATTTTTTACCACCTCAGCAGAAAACAATTCTCAATCAAGTCCTTTCCAAATGTATGTTAACATGAAGATTACATGTGGAGCTTTTCAAATTATATAAATTCTTGAGTCTCATGGAATATATACTAAGTCAAAATTGTCAGGATAAGAACATAGTGTTCTAGATTTAGGAAGCCCTCTACGTATGAATTTCATGCAGCTGTCCAGGTATTAGTGTCTGAGGTCTCTGGCATAAAGTATTTTCTCTCTTAGACTTAAAATCAGGTCTTGTTGCTCACCGATTAGCCCAGGTCATGCTAATCAATTAAAGCTTTGCTAGACCATAGATCAAAAAGTTTAGGTTTGGTTGAGAGTAAAAAAATTCAAAACAGTGACTTAAAAACAGACATCTATTTCTTGGCACTTAAAGTGATCTAAAGGCATGAATATAGAACTCCATGTCTCAGAGATCCAGGCTCCTACTTATTTGTGGCTCTGCCATCCTTGCATGCACCAAAGAACACATGGTTTCCATCTCATGGTCAAAGACTGCTACTCATATATCCACTAAGTCAGTATTTTAGCTAGCAGGATGAGAAACAGGAGAAGGAATCTTCCAGGCAATCAGATATACAGCCTATTGGCTAGTTAGAGCAAAGCTACACTGGACCATACCTAGCTGCTAGGGAGGCTAGAACATGTAATCTGGCCTCCATGTGCTCAGCTAGTGAAGAGCATAGGGCAGAAAGAATGTTGGAGAACAGTCTCTTTTGCAGCTTAAATGCTTTTGTTTCTTTGGGTCTATAATGGCTCAAAAATAATGACTTTGCTCTGGATTCTGGCTCTGCTATTCTTTGATTCCATTTCATTGAGGATCAACCTGAAAAAATTACTAGTAACTGTCAGTCAGGTTCCATTTTTCAGAAATAACGCCTCTTCTTATTTGTTTCTAATGTCGAAACCACCACTGGTAGAAACCATTTCTAAGTGCTCTTACTCAAATGTCCCAAGAATAGTGTAGAAGTTTAAGCAGCTATTAATTGTTTGATTTGAGTAAACCTGTTCAACTTTATACAAAGTTTAGGGAGTCATATTCCCCTAAAGATCAAAACCAACAGATGTGATATATATGTATGTATATTTCTACCCAGTTTTTTCCCAAAAGAACACAGAAAATTAGTGAAGTCCATTGCGAAGTGGGCATGTGGAAAGAAGTTAGATGGTGTTCTGGGCACCTGTGAGGTAAGAAATTTCTATGACTAGGAAATAGAAAGAACTCTGCATTGAAAAGGCCCCTTACCTTAGGTACAGAAAGCTTGGTCTTTAAAGAGATAAAAAGACATGATGGAAATGCATGTGACTTGGAATATGTAAGGAATGTAAGGTGTTGATGATGAGACAGTCACAGGACCTCAGACACTGGGATCCCCTTTCTGACTTCACCTAAAAATGATTCAATTTCAATTTTTCTAGTTGACACCGAAGTAAAATCTGTAGATGTATTTAGGGGTTTAAGTATCAGATAATTTCATTGGTGGGATTTAAAATATTTTGGAAATGCAAAAAACGCCAATCAAAATTTGAGTATTTGCTCCTTTGGAAATGTACAATCTGTGGCTGACTAGAGCATATTGTCAGCTCCCTCCCTGATTATGTGATTTCTGGAGAAGCTCATTATTGATCCCTAGCAGCAGGAAGAGTGCTTCTGGGGGTGTGAAAACAATCCCATTCGCGATTAATGAAATTCCATCTCCCTTTCTGAGCTTGCATGCAGCCAGGTGTCAGAATTATGGGCTGGCTCAGGGAACCGGACAGGGCGTTCCTGTCCTTGTGATCAGGGCCCGTCTGGGTGGGCAAAAGCTTGGCAGCAGTGTCACAATTTTCCATCTGCATTACACCCCACAGAGAAGAGTGTCCAAAACAAGTCCCTGAAGAGCTTTATTTTCTCTCTCCCCCTAGTTACGCAGAGCTCTCTTCTTGAAGAAGTCTAAATAAAGCAATGCTTGCTAGCCATGTAGTATGTGGTGGGGGCTATCTGTGACTCTTGGGCCATTCCGCTATGTGCTGGCATCCAAAGCACTTCTGTAGGGTAGAGAGTGAGACTGGTGAAGTGAGAATCAGCAGAATCTGCTCCTGGGGCAGCTTAAACTTTGTTGGCTCTGAGTGTCTCGTGGGCCCTACCCAGAAAAGGACACGCCTGGTTCTCCATCACACCAGATTTACCTGCTTTTGGGCTTTGTACTCTTTGAGGCAAAGACATAAAGAAAGAAATTTTATCACTGTGGCCTCAAAATGGCAAAATGGTCCTTTTTTCTGTCTTCAATGTGGAGACTCTCAAATACTAGCCAAAATGACTTCTAGTGGCTCCTCTGGGTTAGTGCCCAAATAATCTCCCCAAATACTCAAATAAAGCCCTTCATACAGAGCCTGGAGTATATGATGATCTCAACAGATAGTAATGACACCAAGATGACAGCAGCAGCTGTGCAATGGAGCCAGGCCCACAGGACAGGGCAACATGGCAGTGGCAGAGCAAGGCATTTCTTTCTGCTCTGACATATCTGCAGCAGGGTTACCAGCTTCTCCCCAAAAACACATATGATCCTGCCTCCTTGCTTAGTCTTCTGCCTGCTCACTCACGCCTCACAGATATCTCCTGAACACCAGCGCTGGGCCATCCTCCCTGCCTGGTCTTAGTTCCTCCTCATCCAGTCTACTCTGTCCCTGCATTCTGTCTGTCAGCACTTACATTCATTGCTGAGCACCCCGGTCTGAGGTAAGAATCATCTGTCTTCACAGTCTGTCCTGCTTGGGGAGTTCCCAACCCCTCCTTCTGCCTCTCTTTGCTGACCCCTGTGTGAGTTCTCCCCAATCTGCAGGCTGTAAGTCACCTCCTTCTGTCCTCCCAACATACTTGGGTTGTACTTCAAATGTCACACCAGCTGAGCCAGGATGTAATTTGCCTGTTCATGTCTAAATCTTTGTCAGTCTGTAAGCTCCGAGGTGAGGAATCATTCTTTACCCATCGGAATTCATCTGTGGCCAAGAGAACAAGTACAGGCAAGTACTGTGACGGAAGAATTTGAAGGTTGCTCTCTCCCTTGCCTCTTTCATTCAGCCAAGTCTCTATCTCATTTTTCTAGGTGACATAATTGTAACCTAAGAGTAAGGAGAAGGCATTCGGAGGGAGAGAGGATGCTTCAAAAGCAACACGATTTATCTTTGATATTTAGCAAGTGAAAGGTGAGGATGGGTGTGGCAGGAGACTCAGGTGGTTAACCAGAAGGCAATTGATGAGGAATTCTGTGACTTCCA